TGGTGGCGCATCGCAGTCGGATGTGCAGAAGGATTTGGAGTATTTGAAGGCTTTAATTGTGATGCATGCCAAGTGTCTGAAGTGAGTTGTAGAATTGGTAGATGCGNTATTTGGGACAAGTGCATGGCGCATATTTGGCTGGTGTGGCCTTCCTCTCGGCCGACCTTGTATTGGTGGCCTCGGTGACACAACTTTGTATGCACTTCGATTTCATTTCACGTTGCCTCGAGGAGTTTGGTGGCGCATCGCAGTCGGATGTGCAGAAGGATTTGGAGTATTTGAAGGCTTTAATTGTGATGCATGCCAAGTGTCTGAAGTGAGTTGTAGAATTGGTAGATGCGAGAAATACGAAAATGTTTAGAATATTGTTTGCTTTGTTTCCGTTGCAGGTTGAGCGAACATGTCAACAGCATTTTCAGCTTCTCTTTGCTCTTGAATTTTCTAACTGCTTCGTTGACCATCTGCTTTATTGGATTTCAAGTGACTGCTTCATCTAAAGAAGATATTGTAAAATATATTATTTTTCTCACAGCGTCATTGGTGCAAGTATTTGTGGTTTGCTATTATGGTGACGAGCTGATGACGGCGGTAAGTGAATGTTATGTAAATATGTATACAGAGCTGACAAACGATACACCCTCATAACTAGGTATTTGTAAATGTATGTTTTTATTAAAAAATTTAATAATGCCATGTACGCAGCCTTTTAGAAGCACTCTTTTTGTTTAACCAGCCAGCACTAGTCCTTTCTGGCGAGAGCAACATACTAGGACAAACCATAGACTATGACGCATTAATAAGGTACCTATTACGTTAGGTAAAAATATTAGAATCGCTAAATTCACCCTAAACCCCTTCTCTGGACTCTTCGCTACCCTTACCCTGGAACCGCCTTTGCATTACTTTGGGGTAGAGGTCTTTTCAGAGACTTCGTCCAGGACCGCCCCTTGTAGCTAACTATGCGTGCTCTCTCATTTTTCGACTCTCAAGATATTTTCTGTGTACGTTGCGATGTTATTCCAGTTTTCTTCGCAACTCGTCATTTTTTTGACTATGTTCTCTCCGGCGATTTTGCCTATTTTGTCGATCAAGCGCATTTCTTTCTCTTTGCCGTCTTCGGCATTTGAAGAACGTATGTTCGGCGTCGTTTAGCTCGGCATCATACAAAGAGCTCAGGCTTACTGCCTTGTCCATCTTGCATTTTAGGTATGCGTTTTGCTGTTCACCTTCCCATTTTTTCTGCATGCCAACGCTTTTACCAAAGGGCCTGTATTTGCTCTTCTATTTCTTGCACAGTCGTCAGCGAGGCCTTGGCTTGATCCCCACTTCATTTTGCGTTTTTTTAGCCACTAGATCTATGGGTAGGATTCCGCTTATTACTAGAAACGCTGGCTCAGATGCGGTACGGTAAGCTGATGCCACTCTAAGAGCAGCTGTGCGTGGTACTGAAGATAATATCCTCCTTCTTTTTTCTCCTGCCAGTGCGTCTGCCCAAATTTCGCTGCCATAGAGGAGGATTGACGTGGTTATGTCCATTAGGAGTTTTATCTTGCTTTGTTTTGGTCCTCCAATATTTGCCTTCAGTTTGCTGAGCGATGCTGTCACTAGTTGTGCTTTCTTAGCTGCGTGCTGTATTTGCGCTCAGTATGCCAGCTTACAAGTCCAATATTAGTCCTAGATACTTCACAGATTTCTTGGAGCGAGTTACTATGTCACAGACCCTAATTTCGACTTCAACAGGAATGCGTCTTTGTGTTAGCAGGAGTTATTGGCAAGCCTTAGATCGTGGTCATCTAGCCACCCTTTGGTACGTAGCATGACTTGGTTGAGTTTTCTTTGTGCTTCTACAGTGTCCCTGGCCTTAATTACCGCTGCGACATCATCTGCGAAAATGACTAGATGAGTATCGTCTAACATGTCTATTTCTAATATTCCGTGGTAATTTATGTTCCAAAGGTCGGCGCCCAATATAGAGCCTTGGGCTGCCCCCGAAGTTATCGCCTTTGTCATGACTCCATCGCTTGTTTCATGGAGGAGCATGCGGTCACGCAAGTAACTGCGTATTACCTTCATCAATTGGCTGTGTACGTGATAGCGGGACTGTGAGGTATCGATTATGTCAGTCCATCTAACGCTATTAAAGGCGTTTCTCACGTCTAGTGTTGCCAAGAGGAATATTTTTCGAGAGTGGTGGTTTCCTTTCAGCGCGGAAACTCTCAACGACGTCTTGGATGGCCCCCAATGTGGATCTTCCTGGCCTCAAACTGTGTTGTCTTGGCGACAGCCCTCCTGCCTCCTGTATTGCCGCTGTTAGTCGTGGTTTTCAAAGTCGTTCGTAGAGCTTTCCCACGGTATCGAGCATGCACAATGGCCTGTATGCCGCCGGGGACTCCTTTTCTTTGCCAATAAGCGTTAGGTGCTGCTTTTTCTCTGTAGCAACATATTCGGGAGTGAATCTCCGATTCCCTTTAGAACCTTCACAGGGATACCGTCCGGGCCGCGGAAACACCCTCATGATAAAGCAATCCATGTACAAATACATTCATAATATTTTTTTTTTTTACAGAGCATGCGAGTTGGAGATGCGGCCTATAATCAAAATTGGTTCGATTGTGATAAGCGCTACAAACGTTTACTAACCATATTGATAATGCGCAGCCAAAAACCAGCCTCCATACGGGCGCCATTCATGCCGCCAATTTCATTTCGCGCCTACATGAAAGTGAGTAGAATTCTGTGAAGCCAAAATAGCTAAGCGGCCTTTAACACAAATTGTCGTGGCATGAAGAAATATATATATATAAGGCAACCAAGTATAAAACTATATATATAATTATAGAATCTCATTTTCCTGTTGATATTTAAGTACTACAAATATTTATGTACCTACGTTTTCATTTCTCTGCAGGTGATCAGCATGTCTTATCAGTTTTTTGCATTATTGCGTACCAGTATGGAGAGAAAGGGAACTAAATTTACATAGTTAAGCAAAAAAAAAAAACAAAAACAAATAATGCATTGTAATGAAAAGTAAATACCAATAAAGTGTAATAGAATAAAAATCAAAAGCCCATGTGAAAGTTTGATCTGGCCTGCAGCATGATTTTCTTCATCCACATCCAGATTTGCAAGATTGCGTGTGCATAATGTCGAATATGTGAGATCTTTTAATGGATATTTGGGTGGACAATGTGATGCTGGTTTGCCATAATCAAAGACTATTCCATCGGTATGCCTGTAGCCCTACTACTCAGATTTTTCTAACCCTCAACCCCTACGTCGATGCTACTATAGCCGAAGATATCACATATAAATTGTAGCCCCGATTGGGGTCGGTTAAGGTGTGTCGCACAGGGGCCAAATTTCAGATTACCCTATGAAGACGTCTTAACCGACTCCAATCGGGACCAAAATTTATATGTGATATTTTCGACTTTAGTAGTATCGATTTAGAGTATTAAATGCAAAAAAAAAAAATGTTTTTTTAATTTTTTGAGTCCATAGAGGCATCTAGCCTTTGAGCCCTTTCCGACATGCCTTCCGACTACAATTGGGATCAAAATTTAGATGTGGTATCCTCGACTATGGTAGTATCGATTTTGGGTATTAGATGAAAAAAAAAAAAAATGTTTTTTTAATTTTTTGAGTCTCTATAGAGGAATCTATATTTTGCCCCCCCTGTGCGACACGCCTTAAGCGTACCCAATCGGAGCCCAAGCGTACATACAATTGGATCTTGCTCTTGCCATTTATGTGCACTGCGCTCCACAGAGTTTTAATTCTGAATGCAGCTCGTGATGTAGTTGGCATCAATAAAACTGGTTTACAGCAAAAATGTTCTGTGGATGCCACTATCCAATTCCCATGTAGAATTCCCCGGTTATTACGAACATCGAGATAATTTTTTTTTCTACGAATAACTTTTCGAGATATATGCAATTTACCGTTACTCAGCTTTAAAAAATAGTGGTTTCACTTAATCCCGTATATCTTACGAACCAATTGAATAATCGTAATACGAGATACGGGAAATTAAAGCAAATGAAACTAATAACGAATAATTTCTGACACCTCTTATTTTCGATGCAAGCACTCTACCTACTCAGGTGTACGTGGCGTATGAGTAACACTCTTTTCTGCTGATATTTCATACAAAAAATCCTTGCGCACTTTCATTTGACCAATCATTAATTTTGTTATTTATATATCGACTTCCTTCATTGGTAGCATAGTTTTTTTTCTAAATGAACAGGCTTTATCACAAGTGCAAATTGTTTACACACAAACTGTTATTTTTTGACTTTTTCTCTGTTAAAGTTTGGATTTTTTGCATTTTTCCATAAAAAAAAAAATAAAATCTGGAATGATTAATTAATTTCTCAGAAACTGTCAGGGCTATCGAAAAGTAATCTTTATTCGGATTATGGAGAATTTTAATATCTATCATTTGCCGTACCTCGTATTACCATTATTTAATTGGTTCGTAAGATATACGTGATTAATTGGAACCACTCTTTTTTTGAAGCTGAATAATGGTAAATTGCAAAAATATCGAAAACGTATCGATACAAAAACAAGTAATTTTTAGCAAAAAAAACCGACTTAAAAAAAAAATATATATATATATATATATCATGATCCAATGATCGGATCTAAACCAAATTAGTATGGGACCACCTCTGAGACACTACCTTTCCGTTGCAAAAAGAATTATTGATCGGTTGACGTGGTGCAAAGTTATGCGGTAACATACATAAAAAAAAAAAAAAAAATATTCCGACGAACTGATAACCTCCTCCTTTTTTGGAAGTCGGTTAAAAAATTAACTCGATTTTCGGAATCAGCGAGTGATTTTACATACAAATTGGATAGTGGCGTCTGGAGAAAAAATTAAACATTAAAATTTGTGATCCAGTGTAATTCTTGCGGACTATTGCAGCTTTACATTGGGATTGTTGATATTTTCAAAAATATCGCTTTTTGCTATATCGAAATGAAAATATATAAAAAATCGTCGTATCGATAATATCGTTTTTGAAGTATCGATCTATCGCACTGAAACTTCACAGCAATATTTAAGAATGCTAGTTAGAAGAAAAGAAGAACTGCAGTTTTATTTGTTTTACATTTTCCAAATGTGAAAGATCTGTTGGAATTCTAATGCCGGATTTCCACTAGGCATTAAATGGCAAAAATGACAAATGACAAAGTCGTGCATTAAAAAAAATCCTGTCATTACATTAAAAAAATTGTCATTAAGTTCATTTCCTCATGGCATTATTTTAAATGGCATATATTTGTTGTCATTCAATGCCTAGTGGAAATTCGGCATAAAAATTAAAAATGTAACTATCAGAATTTTAATCGTAAAAAAAGTTAGGTAATGTTCTCAAACATGAATGTATGTGACACCACAGTTGGTAATATAAGGATACCCAATAAACATTGGGCTTGGTTAACAAATCGAAAATGATTGAAAAACCAATATATTTTTCGAGTCTCACCTTCGATAACTAATGTGGAATAGACTAGTCTTCGATTCGAGAACTATGCCATTCTTCAGCAAAATGGAACCTTCTTTATCCAAAGTATTTTTCCGTCGTTATGAATTCGAAATCCAGCCCATTATCGAATTAAAATTTTAATGATTGAAAAACCAATATATTTTTCGAGTCTCACCTTCGATAACTAATGTGGAATAGACTAGTCTTCGATTCGAGAACTATGCCATTCTTCAGCAAAATGGAACCTTCTTTATCCAAAGTATTTTTCCGTCGTTATGAATTCGAAATCCAGCCCATTATCGAATTAAAATTTTAATGAGAGAGAGTGATCTTCTTTTGTTTCCCTTTTTTTTCTGAATTGAAAGTTGTAACAAAGCCTCAATAATATACATACATAAGTCTATTATTTGTCCGACGAATCAAATCATGAATAGAATTTATTTGCGATGTGGTGATTTATTAGTGATTAAATTTATCGGAAAAATAAAAAATTAAATGGACCTGTGATTTCATTCTTGGACTAAAAAATACTTTTGTTTTGTAAGGCAGCACTTTTTTATTTGGTTGATGAATCAAATCACAAACATATTTTATATGAATGTCTACATATCAGTTTTTCTCTGCGATCTTTTTGATTAAGAAAGGTTTGTTTGATTAAAATGTATTTTATTTTTTATTTGATCGACGATTTAAATCATAAATCAAATAGTTTTCTTAATTAATAATAAGAAATTGCATGACAGGGTTATTCGTAGAAATTCTTCCATAGAGAAGGTTTATTTTTGAAAATGCTCTTTTAAAGGCGGTCTTAGAAGCGTTCCTCATTTTGCCGAGTGGACATGTACAGTGCCATATAATGTTAGAGGGAATTACATATAAAGAAATTATTTTCGAAAGATGAGGCTTTGAGTATATAACTACATATCGATGGCTGAGTGGAAGATCGACCAGAAAACTTTTCAAAAGCGCCCTACTTCAGAATTTTATTGAAAAACACCCTATCTTAGAATTTGGTTGAATAACGCCCTATTTCATAATTCGGTTCAAAAACGCCCTATCTCAAACGAAAATACATTGAAAATAAGCTGAGATAGGGCGTTTTTGAATCGGCAGCTAAGATAGGCCGTTTTCAATCAAATTCTGAAGTAGGGCGTTCTTGAAAAGTTTTATGAGATAGAGCGTTGTTGAAAAATTTCTGAGATAGGGCGCTTTCGAACTGACTGTCGAGATAGGTCGATCTTCCACTCAGTCATCGATATATAGTTCATTTAGTAATAAATAAAATAAATAATTGAATTAAACGTTGTTTGTATAAACTTACCAAATTTTAAGGCACGTAAATTAACCTAAATATTTATATTTAAATCTAAAGAAGTGTTGTCATGCATACATATGCATATGTAGATATACATATGTATGTACATAACTATGTATTAACGTGACATGCATGACAGTTTCTATGTTCCTATAACGCATTGAAATAACAAGCCGATTGTCAATTTCAAGTCATTCAAATTGATTTATAGCTTGAACGTCAACAACGTTGCTGACTAATTGTATTAATATTAGTCCGTAAGGTATTTCAGTTATGCTTTGATATTTAAAATAATAATGTGTAAATTGAAGGTCAAAAAGGCTATAATGAGTTAGCAAGCGTGTTTGCGGGAACAACCCCCTATAGGAAAACGCTAAAAAAATAATAAAAATGGTTGCCTGCAATACCGACACTTTCTGCTGATACTTTATTATTTAAATCACACTCTTGATAAAAACCAAAAAAAAATGTATCTTAAATTGGAATTTATATTTTTTTCTATGATTTCCATTTGTTCGTGCATGCTCGAAAACCTCTAAAAATAATATTTATAATGTGATTAAACAAAAAAATTGCCAAATAACGGTTTGAAATATCTTCAAAGTAAAAATTGCCCAAAACTATTTTGAAATCCGAAAAGTTATAAATAAATTAATAGTAAAAAATATATTTAAACAAGAACCGTATCAGACCATAAAAAAGATAGTTTCCAAATATCTGGACTCCTGCGAACGGAGTTTTCAAAGATCTCGACGCCTGCGCCCCCTAGCGGATTAATTCATCATTCATATTGCACTTTCGTCGAATTCTGAGCTAAGTTTGAAGTTTAAAGTCCGAGAGACTAACTAATCGGAAGGAAAACATAATTTTATTGAATGTTAATGCATTTTTCCGAAAGTGTTGTAGCGGAGCGATATTCGTTCGATTACATTTAACTTTCCCTACAGGACTTTTGTACAATTAAGTAAATTTGGTCGTTGGTGTGGGTATAGCCTTATGACACTATTGTGTTATTGCACGGGCATTTCCATGATAATATCAGATATGTACTTTAAAGCTGAACTTAATCGCAAGCAAATGAAATGATATGCGTCAATATTAAACTAATTTATGGGGTGGGAAAGGGCGAATAATATGAATGACAGGGTGATTGAAAATTGCCTTTAGTGC